GTTCTCCTCCCCTGCCCTCAAGGGTTTGTTCCTCCCAGGGGTTCCCTGGGAAAAGGCCTCTTGCAAGGTTAGGGCTGAAGGCTTACTTATAAGCCCAGCAACTCCCCCCTCCGTAACCGATGTGGGATACCAGGATCTCACAATCCACCCCCCTCAGGGCTGCACGTCCCCGTGCAGCTAGGTCACGGACTACCGTTCTCCTCCCTCCTACACGCTGACCCGTGCAGGGCCCCACACTCGGCACCGCCAAGGGGTCGGCTCTGATACCATTTGTAACACCCCCCCACTACCCAGCAAGATATTGTCCTCTTTGGCACAGGGTCACGGAACACCGTTCTCCTCCCCTGCCCTCAAGGGTTTGTTCCTCCCAGGGGTTCCCTGGGAAAAGGCGTCTTGCAAGGTAAGGGCTGAAGGCTTACTTATAAGCCCAGCAACTCCCCCCTCCGTAACCGATGTGGGATACCAGGATCTCACAATCCACCCCCCTCAGGGCTGCACGTCCCCGTGCAGCTAGGTCACGGACTACCGTTCTCCTCCCTCCTACACGCTGACCCGTGCAGGGCCCCACACTCGGCACCGCCAAGGGGTCGGCTCTGATACCATTTGTAACACCCCCCCCCACTACCCAGCAAGATATTGTCCTCTTTGGCACAGGGTCACGGAACACCATTCTCCTCCCCTGCCCACAAGGGTTTGTTCCTCCCAGGGGTTCCCTGGGAAAAGGCCTCTTGCAAGGTAAGGGCTGAAGGCTTACTTATAAGCCCAGCAACTCCCCCCTCCGTAACCGATGTGGGATACCAGGATCTCACAATCCACCCCCCTCAGGGCTGCACGTCCCCGTGCAGCTAGGTCACGGACTACCGTTCTCCTCCCTCCTACACGCTGACCCGTGCAGGGCCCCACACTCGGCACCGCCAAGGGGTCGGCTCTGATACCATTTGTAACACCCCCCCACTACCCAGCAAGATATTGTCCTCTTTGGCACAGGGTCACGGAATACCGTTCTCCTCCCCTGCCCTCAAGGGTTTGTTCCTCCCAGGGGTTCCCTGGGAAAAGGGCTCTTGCAAGGTAAGGGCTGAAGGCTTACTTATAAGCTCAGCAACTCCCCCCTCCGTAACCGATGTGGGATACCAGGATCTCACAATCCACCCCCCTCAGGGCTGCACGTCCCCGTGCAGCTAGGTCACGAACTACCGTTCTCCTCCCTCCTACACGCTGACCCGTGCAGGGCCCCACACTCGGCACCGCCAAGGGGTCGGCTCTGATACCATTTGTAACACCCCCCCCACTACCCAGCAAGATATTGTCCTCTTTGGCACAGGGTCACGGAACACCGTTCTCCTCCCCTGCCCTCAAGGGTTTGTTCCTCCCAGGGGTTCCCTGGGAAAAGGCCTCTTGCAAGGTAAGGGCTGAAGGCTTACTTATAAGCCCAGCAACTCCCCCCTCCGTAACCGATGTGGGATACCAGGATCTCACAATCCACCCCCCTCAGGGCTGCACGTCCCCGTGCAGCTAGGTCACGGACTACCGTTCTCCTCCCTCCTACACGCTGACCCGTGCAGGGCCCCACACTCGGCACCGCCAAGGGGTCGGCTCTGATACCATTTGTAACACCCCCCCACTACCCAGCAAGATATTGTCCTCTTTGGCACAGGGTCACGGAACACCGTTCTCCTCCCCTGCCCTCAAGGGTTTGTTCCTCCCAGGGGTTCCCTGGGAAAAGGCCTCTTGCAAGGTAAGGGCTGAAGGCTTACTTATAAGCCCAGCAACTCCCCCCTCCGTAACCGATGTGGGATACCAGGATCTCACAATCCACCCCCCTCAGGGCTGCACGTCCCCGTGCAGCTAGGTCACGGACTACCGTTCTCCTCCCTCCTACACGCTGACCCGTGCAGGGCCCCACACTCGGCACCGCCAAGGGGTCGGCTCTGATACCATTTGTAACACCCCCCCCACTACCCAGCAAGATATTGTCCTCTTTGGCACAGGGTCACGGAACACCGTTCTCCTCCCCTGCCCTCAAGGGTTTGTTCCTCCCAGGGGTTCCCTAGGAAAAGGCCTCTTGCAAGGTAAGGGCTGAAGGCTTACTTATAAGCCCAGCAACTCCCCCCTCCGTAACCGATGTGGGATACCAGGATCTCACAATCCACCCCCCTCAGGGCTGCACGTCCCCGTGCAGCTAGGTCACGGACTACCGTTCTCCTCCCTCCTACACGCTGACCCGTGCAGGGCCCCAGACTCGGCACCGCCAAGGGGTCGGCTCTGATACCATTTGTAACACCCCCCCACTACCCAGCAAGATATTGTCCTCTTTGGCACAGGGTCACGGAACACCGTTCTCCTCCCCTGCCCTCAAGGGTTTGTTCCTCCCAGGGGTTCCCTGGGAAAAGGCCTCTTGCAAGGTAAGGGCTGAAGGCTTACTTATAAGCCCAGCAACTCCCCCCTCCGTAACCGATGTGGGATACCAGGATCTCACTATCCACCCCCCTCAGGGCTGCACGTCCCCGTGCAGCTAGGTCACGGACTACCGTTCTCCTCCCTCCTACACGCTGACCCGTGCAGGGCCCCAAACTCGGCACCGCCAAGGGGTCGGCTCTGATACCATTTGTAACACCCCCCCACTACCCAGCAAGATATTGTCCTTTTTGGCACAGGGTCACGGAACACCGTTCTCCTCCCCTGCCCTCAAGGGTTTGTTCCTCCCAGGGGTTCCCTGGGAAAAGGCCTCTTGCAAGGTAAGGGCTGAAGGCTTACTTATAAGCCCAGCAACTCCCCCCTCCGTAACCGATGTGGGATACCAGGATCTCACAATCCACCCCCTCAGGGCTGCACGTCCCCGTGCAGCTAGGTCACGGACTACCGTTCTCCTCCCTCCTACACGCTGACCCGTGCAGGGCCCCACACTCGGCACCGCCAAGGGGTCGGCTCTGATACCATTTGTAACACCCCCCCACTACCCAGCAAGATATTGTCCTCTTTGGCACAGGGTCACGGAACACCGTTCTCCTCCCCTGCCCTCAAGGGTTTGTTCTTCCCAGGGGTTCCCTGGGAAAAGGCCTCTTGCAAGGTAAGGGCTGAAGGCTTACTTATAAGCCCAGCAACTCCCCCTCCGTAACCGATGTGGGATACCAGGATCTCACAATCCACCCCCCTCAGGGCTGCACGTCCCCGTGCAGCTAGGTCACGGACTACCGTTCTCCTCCCTCCTACACGCTGACCCGTGCAGGGCCCCACACTCGGCACCGCCAAGGGGTCGGCTCTGATACCATTTGTAACACCCCCCCCACTACCCAGCAAGATATTGTCCTCTTTGGCACAGGGTCACGGAACACCGTTCTCCTCCCCTGCCCTCAAGGGTTTGTTCCTCCCAGGGGTTCCCTGGGAAAAGGCCTCTTGCAAGGTAAGGGCTGAAGGCTTACTTATAAGCCCAGCAACTCCCCCCTCCGTAACCGATGTGGGATACCAGGATCTCACAATCCACCCCCCTCAGGGCTGCACGTCCCCGTGCAGCTAGGTCACGGACTACCATTCTCCTCCCTCCTACACGCTGACCCGTGCAGGGCCCCACACTCGGCACCGCCAAGGGGTCGGCTCTGATACCATTTGTAACACCCCCCCCACTACCCAGCAAGATATTGTCCTCTTTGGCACAGGGTCACGGAACACCGTTCTCCTCCCCTGCCCTCAAGGGTTTGTTCCTCCCAGGGGTTCCCTGGGAAAAGGCCTCTTGCAAGGTAAGGGCTGAAGGCTTACTTATAAGCCCAGCAACTCCCCCCTCCGTAACCGATGTGGGATACCAGGATCTCACAATCCACCCCCCTCAGGGCTGCACGTCCCCGTGCAGCTAGGTCACGGACTACCGTTCTCCTCCCTCCTACACGCTGACCCGTGCAGGGCCCCACACTCGGCACCGCCAAGGGGTCGGCTCTGATACCATTTGTAACACCCCCCCACTACCCAGCAAGATATTGTCCTCTTTGGCACAGGGTCACGGAACACCGTTCTCCTCCCCTGCCCTCAAGGGTTTGTTCCTCCCAGGGGTTCCCTGGGAAAAGGCCTCTTGCAAGGTAAGGGCTGAAGGCTTACTTATAAGCCCAGCAACTCCCCCCTGAGCTGGGCTTATAAGTAAGCCTTCAGCCCTTACCTTGCAATAGGCCTTTTCCCAGGGAACCCTTGGGAGGAACAAACCCTTGAGGGCAGGGGAGGAGAACGGTGTTCCGTGACCCTGTGCCAAAGAGGACAATATCTTGCTGGGTAGTGGGGGGGTGTTACAAATGGTATCAGAGCCGACCCCTTGGCGGTGCCGAGTGTGGGGCCCTGCACGGGTCAGCGTGTAGGAGGGAGGAGAACGGTAGTCCGTGACCTAGCTGCACGGGGACGTGCAGCCCTGAGGGGGGTGGATTGTGAGATCCTGGTATCCCACATCGGTTACGGAGGGGGGAGTTGCTGGGCTTATAAGTAAGCCTTCAGCCCTTACCTTGCAAGAGGCCTTTTCCCAGGGAACCCCTGGGAGGAACAAACCCTTGAGGGCAGGGGAGGAGAACGGTGTTCCGTGACCCTGTGCCAAAGAGGACAATATCTTGCTGGGTAGTGGGGGGGTGTTACAAATACCTCTAAAGTTCAATAATTGCATTGATCAGAAGATCCCTATCAATAGGGCAAGAGAGAAATGTTAAGAAGGATTTGAGCATAAATAACTCATATATCAATGCTCAAGGTAAGAGCATAAATAACTAATATACTTCAACTCCTTTTATCTTATAGGCAAGCGAGAAATCTTATAACTCGTATATCAATGCTCAAGGAATTGAGTATAAATACTAATATTCTTCAACTCCTTTTATCTATCAGAACAAACATGCAGAAAATATCTCCAAAACCACGTTGCAGTAAGTGAGACTCCTATAGTAAAAGGAAAATTAACTCTATTACCTCACCATGAAGCTTATGTCTGAACTAAATGACTAGAGAGTAAAAGGAATGCTCCTTAATTCCATATGTCAATCAATATTGCAAAGAGAATGTGCTTCACTCACCAAAACGATAACGTAAAAGTTCAAATTCATTTGTTGGGCTGATTCGGGCACCATAAATGAAGATTGCAGTGACTGTCCAACAATGACAGCAAGCAGGACCAGCTGAAAGCACCAAAAACCATGAGATAAAGCTGAAATCCAGCTGAAGTCCAGCAGGGAAGTAGCAGCTAAGAGCCAGCAGCTGAGGAGAGTCGTTGAAAATCCATCAGCATCAGCCTAGCAAAGTAAGCCAGAAAAGTGGCAAAGAAGAAAAGGGAGAGCCAGAAGAGAGCACCTGAATTCTAGCTGTGAATCCAGCTGAAATGAACTGGTAAACCAGCAAAAGATCAGCTCCATACTAGACAAAATCCAAAAAATAGCAAAACAGAAGGCATCAGCAGCAACAGGCAGACTGTTCACGTGAACAGTGCACAACACAGCACAAAGGAGAAAAAGAAGCCTTGCAGCATAACACAACACCATTCCAGTCAAAACAGAACAATGCAACACCAAGCCAGCACCTCCAATAATAGGAAAACCAAATGAAGAAGAGGAAGGCCAACAAGGGTTGGCTTTAACCCTTCAACATGAAAAAACCTTTGAAGTCAGAACCAAGTAGGAACTTTCACCAACCAGCTGGAAATACCTTGCCCTAGAACCAGCAGCCCAGAAGCACATCACACACTGCATCCAAACTGATACTGAACCAAGGAAGCCGTTTAAAACTGCCCAGAACACCAAGCAGCACATGCACTTCCACAACATCGATAACACCTCCCAATCCCTTGACAGTGCACACAAGCAAAAGAGGGGATGACCAGAAAAGAGGAATAGACAAGGCAATCCTAGCACAAACCCCTCACAGCATGACCCCCAAACCACAGCAAAGCACCTGCACCATAGCACACAACCACATAGCAGCAGACTGACAGCACAGAAGCACCCAGCTAGGAAAGGCACCAACAACCAACCTCAAGCCAATAAGCATAACCAAAAGGACAGAGAAGCACAACAAGTGACACCAGAGGCACACCTCACCAAACATAACAGAAAAGCCCTGACATTACACAAAACTCCTCCTTCCAACTGAACTCAGACAATAAAATAGCTCACTGCCCAGAACCCCAAGCAGCACCTGCACATCCACATTAATCACAATATCATCCAACCCCATGTCTGTTATCACATACACTCATCTTCTTCAATCTTGTAAAAGGCATCATGCCTTGGTCCTGCTGAAGAAGTACTCTTCCAGCAGTGGGCAGCTTCCCATTTTCAGAAAAATCAGAGTTTCTACCATAAAGGACTACATAAGAAGCTAGAAATTCTGCAATGCTATTGGCATCCTGATACACATGCTTGATCTGGAAATGCAACTTTCCACAAAGTAATATCCATGATTTTCGGTTAAATATAGAAGAATACTACTAGAAAAAATAGTGTGCACCCAAAGATAAGAATAAGAAGAACGTACTGAATATTTCTCTTAAATGTATTTCATTCACATTCCTGGTGAGCTCATCAACACGAAGAACAAAGACTCAGGAATAGGCGAAGTTTTCTTGAAATCAGATGCAAATGTGAACATAAGTAAAATCACTAATAAGTAATAACAAAAAAATAACAATTAAAAATAAAGTGAATATCATATAATCTTCTCATATTGTAACTTAAGCAGCCAAATGATCAGCAAAAATGCTACGCAGTTTAACAGACTAACAAACTGAGTGAGAAACAGAGGAGGACTTACATTAACTTGCCATGGATAACGAGAATGCTTACAGAGTTGAAATTTTTCCATATCAAAGTCTCTAACTCCACAATCATTATTGGAGGCTATAAAATGAATTGCCTGACCCATTAAGAATGCAATCAGTAATGTCTATGGATATTTCATCACGGTCTAGTCCACCTGCAGAATGCAGATTGAACATTTTTGATAAGATGCAATCCTTAGATAATTACTTTGCATACTTTGTAGCAATAACCCACCAACACAAAATTTTCTAACATAAGCAAGGTAATATAACTGGAAAATGCGAGTTCAGGTAACAATGACATACACCAAGGCAAGAAGATGGAGAATACTAGTTGGGGAAATTTTGAGTCGTACAAAAGTTTCATGCTCTAGCTCTTTCCTAAGAATATCAGCTGCTACAGGATCAAGTTGAACACCATGCAGGTCATCGGATACACTATGGGAACAAATCATGCTTGAGGAAGCTATAGGCATCTGCTCTCCATTAGCATTTACATGGTCTAGTAGATTCTGAAATAGGGTTTCACGGTCAGGAGCCTGCTCATTTAACTTTGAACAACAATTCAGTAAAAGGTTGATTTTTTTTTCAGAGAAGTAGAAAGTGAACCAATAATCTTCATTTCTCAGGATTTACACTTGCTAAGTATGTTGTAGAAGTTTTCTTATGCAGCATTTCTTACATCAACATGAAACTCAAATAAGAAAATGCAGTGAATGAGAAACACTACCACAAAGTAAAACTGTTAGTCAACTGCCTTGCCACGCATGCAAGTCAATATGTGATAGCCTTGATAACTTTCAAAAATGGTAGAACAAGATTGTTGTCACAAGTTCAATTCATCTGGTACAAAAAAGGAAAGAAATACATTAATAAATTATCAGTCAAATTTTTAAAAAACATACAGGTTTTCTGAATCTTAAGTTCTGAAATTTTTAGTTGTTCCCCGTTCGCTTTGACGGCAAACGGAGTTGAAACAAGCCGATTGGCCCCCTTAGCTCCAAGTTTTAGTTTTTATACTTCTTAAGTGTTGAACATAAAACGATAGTAAAAAGATACTAAGACTCAGGTTGCATGTAATCTAAATGCATTCTACTGCCTATGGTATGCAAGTTGCATGTTTTGTGGGGAAACTAATAGAGCAGGCTTGAAAAACTACTTAATAGAGTCGAATCTTCACTTAATGAGTCATTGTTTTTCTTGGAAATAACCTTGAATGCCCTTACAATTATGTGTAGTTATTTTTTTTTAACCTTTTGTTGATTCTCTTTAATACTTAGATTAACTAGCTATTCTCCTGATGTAATGTTTTGGGGTACTTGAATGGTTTGGAGTCTTTAATGGTTTGGAGTCTTCACATAAAGGAATGTGTTTTAGTAGGCCATAAAGGTTATAAAGATAAGGATTTGGATCTCCTCAATATCAGTTATCAAACTTTCCATAGTTCAGCCCCCAATGCAAAGGCAATTCAATTAAACCCAATGCAATTCAATAAAACCCAATTCAATATCATACCAACAGGAACAAAACAATTTAACCCAATGCCCATAGCTGTCCAAAAATTTAGAAACATCCAGAAGACTAACAGCCGAATCAACTAATTCCTTTTCACATACTTAGTTCAAGCTAAGCAACCAATCATAAATCCAACAATTATAATGAAAACTATGACCCCAGCACTGAAAATAGATGCAACCCAATTCAAGCAAGATGTCCTGTGTGTCCCACTCATAGCTATAGTGTTATCAATCGCTAAAACCACAACCGCAATTGGGTCCAATAAATTAAACCCTTCAGCAAAGGAGTTCACTCGAATTCTAAGGAAATCCGCATCAGATTTTATCATACTAGCAAAATAAGAAGACCATGAATGCCCTAACCCAGCAGCACCAACAACGGTCTCTAGTAAAATATTACCCGTAGCTATAAAAGCAAGAAAATCACTCAACTCGATTCGAAGAAATGAGAAAGACCCACCTGCCACAGGTATTTCCACAGCAAATTCAGTGTAACAGAATACTGATAGCAACGCAGAGAGGCCTGAAGTGGCATAACAAAGAACTATAGTTGGGCCAGCATCGTTGTGGAGAGGTTTTGGAAGAAGGGTGCTGGGAAAAAGTCTTGTTTGCTGAATCGCCAGTAGGATTTTGGTGGTGGTGGGTGTGGTGGTTCCATGGCGGAGGATTTGGAGTGAGAGGCGAAATGGGTATTGAGAGGAGTGATCAAATCTTGAGAGATTTGAGAATCAGTGTTAGAATCAACCATTGTTACCAAAAAGTAGGCTCAAAGGAAAAAATTTTCAATATCCACCAACTGATTTCAATATAAGAACACATCTAATTAACAAAAACAACTCACCAAAAAATATTTGGAAAAACAAGAACAAAAATTTATATAAATCTACAAACAGAGATTCAATCAATCAAAAAACAAGAACTATGACACAATTGAAACCATAAAGAAACAAATTTGAAGCTTTAGGGTTTTACCTTCGCATATCGATAAGAAACTCAGTTAAGGGGAGGGGTTTAGGTGAAATGAGAATACCTGAAGCAGCAAACGATGGTCTGAAGGAGCAAACGATGGTCTGAAGCTTAGATGGTCTGAGTCTGGCAAAGAGAGGCAGAATACCTGAAGCTTTGAGCAAATCTAAAGCTTCGATGGAGTTTTGAGGCAGAGAGAGGCAGGGATCAATGGGGTTTTGTGGATAATCCATGAAGAGCCAGAGAGAGGCAGAGAGAGGCGGAGACTGGCGTGAGGCATTTATCTGGGCTAGCTACACTTATTGAGCGACAAACTTGTTATGGGAAATAGACAGTCAGATAGGAAAAATTTATATTCTGCGACGTTTTTTGAAATGTCGTTAAAAACTTTTAAGGTCTAATTTAAAATTTCTAATCATCAATTCCCGCCATTCCCGCCATTCATCGCGCCAATAAAAACATTTTAAGTTTAATTTAAAATTAATAAATTTACATTCTGCGACAAATTTCAAAAAACTTCGCAAATTGACATTATTATTTCATTTAACTTTAATAATGAAAATTTATCTTCCGCGTCGCAAAAAACCATTTTAAGTCTAATTTAAAATTAATAAATTTACATTCTGCGACGAATTAAAAAAAGCGTCGCCAATTGACATTATTATTTCATTTAACTTTAATAATGAAAATTTATCTTCCGCGACGTTTTTGAAAAACGTCGCAAAAAACATTTTAAGTCAATACTTTTTTGTCGTAAAAAATCTTAATTTTCCGCCATTTCTCGCGCCAAAAACAATTTGAATCGAATCACCTTTTCGTGATGATTTTAGAAAACGTCGCAAAAAAGTTCCCAAAAAATACTTTTGGCGACAAAAATATTATAATGACGCGGATAGTATACTTTTTTGCAACAAATTAAAATTCGTCGCAAAAAAAACGTCGCAAAAAATGATTTTTGCTATAGTGAATGATATAGTAGCTACTAAACAAAGTAAGGAGTACCATTGGACCAAAGACCCATTGGTAATGATATAGTAGCTACTAAAATCTAAAATAGGATGACCTTGAACCATGCATAGTATATGATTGTCGACATAGAAACGATTGGTGAGAGTGGAAAAAACAATTCACTTGGAGCCTATTAACAAAATACAAAATATTGAACCCGCAGTCCAATATAATTGACGATGTAAATGTTGACATGCAGTTCTAAAATATCAAAAATTGTTAAATTGGACCTGTAGTTCAACACTTTAAGATGTAAAATTTATTGGATATAAGTGGGTATTTATATGAAAATAAAAAGTAAGTATGCGATATAGAGTACATCTAGTGGTGCAAGGGTTCCTACAGAGACCAAAGCTTGATTATGAAGAAAAAACACACTCACTAGTAATTGATGAAATTACATTTCGGTATCTTATTAGTCTAGCAGTCTCAGAAAGAGTCAACATTTATCTTATGGACGTTATTACTGCATATTTGTATTGAAAGTTAAATACTGATATTTATATGAAATTCTTTGAAGGATTGCACATGTCTGAAACAAATAAATCAAAATCACAAAATATGTACTCAACTAAGCTAAGATGATCTTTATATAGATTGGAACAATCTGAAAGAATGTGGTCTAACCGTCTCAGCGAGTACTTGGTAAAGGAATGACATATTAGTAATCCTATATGCCCTTGTGTATTTATTAAGAAATTAGAATCTGGATTTGCCATCTTTGCAGAATATTTTGATGATATGAATCTGATTAGAACTCTTGAAGAATTAATTAAAGTTGCTAAATATTTGAAAAAACAATTAGATGAAAGATCTTGGAAAAAAAGTACTATCTCGTTCGATAGATCAAGCATATGTTAAATAAAACTCTTATTCATTAAACAACTTATGCTGAAAAGGTTCTGAAGTGGTTTAGAATGGATAAAACATTTCGTTATGTACTCCAATAGTTGTTCAATCTCTTGATGTCAATCAAAACTCTTTTCGTCCTAAGGATGAAAATGAAATATTTCTTGGTCCTAAAGTTTCATACCTAAGTGCAATTGATGCTTTGTTATGCTTAGCACAATGTACTAGGCCTGATATAATATTTGCAGTCAAATTGTTGGCAATATTTAGTTTTGTACCAACTCAACCACATTAGAATAGCATAAAACATGTCCTATGCTATTTTCATGGAACTATAGATTTGCAATTGTTATACTCAAAACAATCAGTCAATGATCCACAGTTAGCCACATATGTTGATTTTAGATACCTATTAGATCCTCACAAGGCTTGTTCACAAAGTAGGTATGTTTGCACATATGGTGACACAACGATCTCACGACAATCTACTTAGCAGACTTCAATTTCTAAATCTTTTAATCATTATGAGATACTTACACTCCATGAAGCGACCAGTAAATGTGTGTGGCTAAGCTCTATAGTCCATCACATCTGAGATACTTGCGGGCTTCTTTGATTACAAATTCACCAACAACCTTATATGAAGGTAATGTTGTTTGCTTTGCACAAATTAAAGGAAGGTTTCTCAAAGGTCATAGAACCAAGCATATTTTGCCAAAGTTCTTCTACACTAACGAACTCTAGCAAAGTCATGAAAATTGAAGTAAAGCAGATACGATTTAGTGACAATCTTGCAGATCTATTCACTAAAATTTCATCATCATCAACGTTCAAGAAATAGTTATTCAAACACGCTAGGGATTAAAGGTAGGAGATTCTTCTTGAATTCTTTCATTGAGACTTAGTATATTATCTATGTATATTTTCAATCTTCTTGATAGTTATATGATAAATATTTATGAGTTCTTGGTTTCTTTATCATTGAAAAATAGTGTTGAACAAAATACATGTTAGGGTTCAAAGAATATTTGTTCTTGAATTTCCAAAATCCTAGTATTGCTAAACACATATTTGGTTATGAAAAATACATGGATTCTTGATTTCTAAATTCCTATTCTTGATTAAATCATGTTTTTTTATCTAATACTTGTTCTTGTTCCAATAAATTATAATTTTTGAAAAAATCATAGAATTTTGATATTGAAATTTAAAGATTTTCTTAATATGATCTATTCCATATTTTAATTCATTTATTACGGTAGTATATTGAGAATTGTGCAATTGTGATACTTGAATTGTCAATGAAAGTTGTGATTGATTAAGATTGTGGTTGTTGAAAAAATTGTGGTTTCATCTCTTGTATGATTTGGGTGTGACGGGCTTGAATTGCCTTCGATAGCTACCGTAGAGTGTCAGAGGTTAGTCTATCCCAGTGGGGGTGAAATGGTTGTCTAACAGTCGTAGTGAATTTTTGTTTGTAATAGCAACAACTATTATTCACATAAGTTCGAAACTGATGGATGGTATACTTTTCCTGGGAAGGATTCATCAATGTCGTGGGAGATGGTATACACCTTTCCTAAAGTGGTTTGTGATTTGCCCATACGGGGAATGATTGAGATTGTTTGGTTTGTGGTGGGTTAATGAGGTAGAATCGTTTTGTAGATTTCTGAGAAGCAACCAACATACATGACAATGTGGATAAACCAACATACATGAAAATTAGAATGAACCAACATACATGAGAATATGAGATGATGCTACGAAGTTATTAATTGATTACTTTAATTCAGACATGTTTATTCCTTTCATTGATTTACCATATTCCGTACAATTAAGATCATTACAATTGTCATAGTTTTACTCTCAAAAATTTATATATGATATTTTTCAAAAGAGACTTATCTTAACCTTGTTGGGATTTGAGAGGGATTTCTTACGGACTTTTGCTCACCCCCTACTACACATTTACAATTTTTGACAGAGAGGAAGATGTCAAATTAGATGAGCAGATCGACCTCGAGAATGGAGAGGGTCAGTATGAGGATCCTGAAGTGGAGGCTTAGAGATGCTTCATCTTATTTTAGATTATTTTATTTGAGAGATTTTTATGAAACAATGTTTTAGCTATTTTAATTATTCCGCTGCTAGATATTCTTTGGTTTTGAATTGTAAGTTGGAGAAATACAATGTTTTATTGCCTTTAGTATTTATTCTTTGTCAATTGGATGAACGGTTTATTACTTAATGATTATCTTTAGTTGTTCTAATGACTGGATGGTTTATAGATAGTAATGACTTCAGGATGGATTTTTGGACGGTACAATTTATCCTTGTTTTCCTTAATATATGTATATGTCTTATTATCTATTATAAACCACTAGGTGTAACTCATGCCTAAATATATGGTAAGTGAGAAGTGCTGAATTTTGAGGGAAGTGAAGAATTCAATGTGAATGGTTTTGAGAGGGATATTAGTGGTCATTGAATGAGTCTATTTAACACCGTCAGATGACCTTATTAAAGTCTACCATGTTTTATATTATAGATTTGCATATCAATTTCATACATAAATTATGGTAAAATATACATTTATATTTTTTATTATAACAAATGAATTAATCATTTTTACTTTTCATATTTCCTACTAAACATAAATGAAGAAACGATGAATTTTTTCATGGAAAGATATAAAATTATACCACTCATACTTTCCATCATTTTATATTTTAAAAAATCATTGTAAAGTTCACTCCCTCTCTCTCTCTCAATGCTGTTAATTTGTATATATGATGAACAACAACAATACTTAAAAACTTAATTTATTGACTTAATTAGTTAATAATCTAATTCATTGTTGCTCTCTGATTGATAATGTTTCCCACTAAAATATTTTGCACATCAATTAACATAAAAATGTTTTAACACGAACCTTACAAATCATAAGATGACTAAAATATAATAATTTTTTTATTATAAATAAATAATTTTTTTTTTATTATAATGAATAAAACTTTTAAAATTTGACCTTGCGGTATGAATTTTTTTTTTCTTCCTTGCTCTAGTCTTCTCCCTACGAAGATTGCGTGTTCAACCAACCCACAAATCCATTCAAAACAGGTGTATGTTGTACGTATTGTCATGAATACCGACAGATTGTGTCACATTACTTTACTGGAGGCTGCACTATGGACGCAGATTAGATACTTTAGAATGCCTAGTATATAGTGATGGTGTTTTACCTACCGGAGTTTATAAATGTAACCAAAATAAAATTTCGGGACCCTAACTACTAATTTTATAAAAAATGTCAAATAGTTTTAAAATTTTTGATTTAAAAATTAAACTTAATTAATTATTATTATTGAATAATTAG